TTTTGGTATCGATACTGCCCAACGCTAATTAATTGCTTTAGTGACTGCTTCTGCATTCCTGCGCAGTTCGTAACCACTTCCAAAATATTTTCGATATGCTGACCAACGACAACTTTGAATATTTAGCAATTGCCATTAAAGCGATGATGAATATCGGCATTGTTATAGCAGCATACAATTGATTCACAGACTTTCTTGTGGGAAGCAAAAAGAACCAAATTGTGTCCATTTTTTCTATTAACATTTGTATTTGCCTATAAAAATACTTATTAACTATGTATTTGCTAAAATATGTTTATTTAAAAGAGCATAAAATAGCTTTCACTTGATGTACGTATATATTTAATATATAATTTCAACGGGCCGTAATATTGGCGCGATATATATGTACATATGTATGTATGAAAAAAAGTTTTATATAAAAAAAAACGACGCACTACCTACTAAAATATTGTTTTATATGGACTCTGCACTTCTTACAACGCTTTTATCAACTTGCAATGTTATGTTGCTTTGCTTTGCAAAGATCCTAAAAAAGTCTAGACATCAACCTCGCCGGAATGTATCATATCAAAGACTCTAGAGGGACTGAGAAATATTATTATCTACGTTTTAGTCCATTTATAAAAGCGTGATATATTAAAAAGTTTTTTTTTTTTTATTTTATTTTTTTTCCCTTTATTTTTGGATTCTTGTTTGCTTTTTGACGAGTTCGTTCGCTCTTTCTTCAATATGTTATGCAGCACTCCTTGTGTTTCATGGCTATTTCCTCCTCGCATTTATCTTCGCTTTGCTCGCCGCTCCAGTATTTGCTTAGCATAAGAGAAAATCGAATGTGTGTTTCATTCAATTCAGTGCCACTTCATTATATAAACGATGAAAAACACAGGCTTTTGTGGAAATTGATAATTACGAATTCCATTACGCATACAATTTCGTATTTTTTACCCGACTTCCAAAAAAAGAGGAGGTTATCAGTTCGTCGGAGTATTTTTTTTTTTTTATATGTATGTTGCCGCATAACTTTGGACCACGTCAACCGATTTCGATAATCGGAAAGGTAGTGTCTCAGAGGTGGTCCCATACTAATCTGGTTAAGATCCGATCAGTGGATCATGAGATATATATATATATATATTTTTATATGAGAGTTGAAGTCGGTTTTTTTTTGCTTGTTGTTTATTGATTTTTGAAAGTTTTGACTTCGTTGTGAAGCAATCGTTGTGTCCCAATCGCTCCTAATTTGTTTTGGCAACCAAAGGACGGTATAGTGTAGTGGTAAGCAGTGCGCGCTTCCACTCCGCAACGCCTGGGTTCAAACCCTGGTCAAAGCAACATCGCAAAAAATATAGAAAAAGGTTTTTTCTTAACAGCGGTCGTCCCTCGGCAGGCAATGGCAAACCTCCGACTGTATTTCTGCCATGAAAAACAGCTTCTCATAAAAATACAATCGCCGTTCGGAGTCGGCGTAAAACTGTAGGTCCCTCTGCTTTGTGTGACAACATCAAGGCGCACGCCACAAATCGCAGGAGAAGCTCGGCCAAACACTAACATATGTGTAAGCGCCAATCTATTATTATTATTATAAAGGACGGTATAAAAGCTACACAACGGCAAATTTTTTGATAAGTGACTTCCGTTTTCGTATGATTTATTTAACTCTAAAGTCGTACGAATGTCACGTCCGACATTATGGAAATATACATATATTAATTTAAACATTTAAAAAAAAACTTTGATAATAAAATTTAAAAGCATCTATGTATCAAGTTAAGAAATCAAAACTATTTTTATTTGTATCCGCCCTGGCAAATGCTTTTAAGTTTGGAAGTGTGGATATGTGAAGGCGAAAAAGTTGGGGGAATACGCCCATTTTTATTGTCCAATACAATGTTGATATCTGCATTGCTGTTGCGAAATTTCATCGATTTTAGCATCCTAAAAATGATAAAAGTCACACTGTGCGTCGTCAGCCATCTCTTGTTATATGCTGGTAAAGAAGGGCTTAGATACGAAATCTTTAACAAGAGTGAACTTTAAATTGGGAATCGGTTCTTATCTCTACAATAAGCTATTAAATGCCACTGTTTGGCCTGCCCGTTCAAGTCTTTTCACAAGGAAGGGGGGACGACGAAAACCACCACATAGCTGGAAACCTAAGGCATTGTAGTAATAAAAATATAATAGTTACTAGCGGTACCCCGGTGTGCTTCTCTACACCAAATATTGAAAAATATTGAAAAATTAATGAAAACCCCTGCACGCCGTACTTCCTTTTATTGGAAGTGCTCCTCAACATTTTGCGATCTTCTTTGCGTTAACATCATGTTCGCA